TTTCAGAATGAAATAGAGGCAAAAACACGGAGAAAAACTAAATTATAGACTCCTAACACTCTCCAATTTGGATTCCTTCTTCCTCCACGAAGGACACAGATCAAACACGATCATTTCTCTAAAAACCCCTAATCCGAAATAGGGTTTAAGAAAATAGGAACGACACACTAACTTCGAAAGCACACAAAAAATGGAGATAACCTCAGAATCAGGATCGGAAACCTGATCCGAAAACTAGACAGAGAGATCTAACCGACGGTATGAAGATCGTTTTCTGTCTCCTTATGGTTCGACAGGAATCCTCCCGTGAAGTGGACTGATCGCAGACCCGAAACTGCACAAACCTCTCACAGTAAAACAACGATAACTCCTAGAATACACATCCGATTGATAAGCCGTTTCCTCCCATATCAAGATCAGAGAGTGGAGAACTTAACCTGAAATTTTCTCTCCGATCCGATCATCTTATGACTCCTTCTGGTTCACGGGTGTTACAGTTATTTTTGGCTTTGATGCTTGATGCCTAACCCATTGTTCTTTTAGTGGTGACCGTGTCAATTTAGGCAAGGCAGGAAAACACCAGGTATTCAAAATTCCTTGCGCCATATAGAGAAGAGAAAGAGATCTTTGAGTGTTCTTGTTCCTTAAGGTTAAGAAAATGTGTGATTGAGGCTTTGGAGGCAGTTCTGTCCAGATTTAGAAGAGGAGAGTAACGGCCAGTAAGAACAGATCGGATCGGAGCGGAGCAAAAACTTCAGGTTAAGTTTTCCACTCTCTAATCTTGTTATAGGAGAAAACGGTTTGTCAATCGGATGTGTATTCTAGGATTTATAATTGTTTTACTGAGAGAAGTTTGTGCAGTTTCGGAAATGTGATCAGTCCACTGCAAAGGAAGATTCCCGTCGACTCAGAAAGACTCAGAAGACGATCCGCATACCTTTGGATAGCTCTCTCTGTCTAGTTTCCATATCAAGTTTCCGATCATTATTCTGAGATAATCTTCGTACTCACTGTGCTTTCGAAGTCAACGTGCCGTTCCTGTTTTATGAAACCCTAATTCGGTTTAGGAGGTTTTTGGAGAAAGGATCGAGGTTTTGTTGGTTCGTGAGGAAGGGAAGATAGAGCAGGGGCTGTAGGTGTGAGAGAGGTCTCTTTTCGTGGTTGTTCTTGTCTATAACCGATACAGAATCCAGGTGAGTGCGTGGCCATGGCTTATCTGGGTAAAGAGAATGTCATGATGCTTTTGATTGAGGTTTGGATTGATGTGTTGATGATTTATTGGGTGATTTGAGTGATTCTCGTGTTATTGGATGTCTTTGTTGACGTTTTTGGTGCAGGAGATCGATACGTCGGATCCTGAAAACGAGCCATGAGAGGATAGGCTTGTGTTTCTTGATTCTGTGATGCATATGCAGTGCATCGATCGACACCAGGGTGGTGTGTCGATCGACGCAGGGTCTGGACT